AAAACCCAACTTTGTATTTCAGCTTACCCTGGGTTTAAATTAATTTCTGGGCACCACATTAGCAAATCGAAATGTGACTCTTTCTTAATACAACAGAATTCTTTTACTGCTGTTTGAAAAATTCCTGTACCATGTAGTGAATTCCTATAAATACGCCAGTCTCTGAGACAGACAATCTCAGAAACTTGATTGGAAATACTTATATTTAAACATGCACACACATATATAATATATATATAAATACATATGTATGTATGTATGTATTTGTAGAGCTGGGCCATGTCGCAACATAAAAATACTTCACAGCTATTCTGTGATCGTTTTGTGCTTTATTTTTATACATACTCTAAATTGAGCAGCACAAGACAATAGCTTCATTCCATGTTAAAATTTTTAAGTGTTTAAGCAAACCTGCTATTGAAGAAGCATTGAGAACCACAAAGGAAACCCGCATTCCTCGCCTCTTAAGGTTTTAAATCAATTTGCCTGTTTTCTTGAGGACTGTAGAACAGAAGAATAAAAATCAGAACAAAAAGATTCCCATGGAAAACCCATGGCTCTCGCCTGCTGCTTATTTGGCCATGACTTACGTACATCTCTGGCAACGGCTCTGTGTTTCTTGCCTTGATATGCCACATCCAGTTATGTTGGAATTACTGTGAAAATTACAGCTTCGGGCATTATCCAAATGCCCATTTCACTTCAATGAACATCTTGAAAAGTGTACAGAGAACTTAAATAAAAAATTCCTCATTCTATGTGTTCTGATAAGGGTTCTTTTTGCTGTATTGCAGTAAAATATACTGTGAATTGCCATTTCTCCCAAATCAAGCAATGAAAATCACACCTCCCTAAAGCAACATTCCAATCCCCATTGCCAGCACATTAAATTATTGCTTTTGTTTGTGTTTAATTGAGTTAACGGTTTTCTAGTTTTTGACTTAGGGCTGCCTGTCATTTAATAGATTACAATGCTTGGCTGGGAAGGAAAAAAATAGATATAGTCAGCCTTGACCACTGCAATACAAGTATGCAGCAAATACCACAACCCCATCCTTTTTGTTCCAAGATTGAAACAACTCTTCAAAGGTAAAAGTAACTCAGCTGAAAAATAAAGAGATGGAATAACTGCAGGGGAATTGAGCAATGTCCAGGTACTAATTCAGCCTACTTTTATTAGCGATTTTTCCTGGTCCTCTTAGGAGACTTGCAGTAATGGTGGTGTGCTTGCTACACAATGCAGTATCACTCCATGAGAGAAGGAAAATACCTTCTTCGGTTGCAGCTGGTGGCAAATTAGACTTGACACGCAGGACCAAGGGGCCTTATTATTACTGAAGCAACTCTAGCCTTTTATAATTCATGAATGGGAAGAGCAGTTTGTTCCTCCTGCTCTTTCTAATCTCCTGTGTTAAGTTGTGACTGTATATTTCATGTTCTTTATCATCAGGTGCTCAAAGGCCATGATGACCACGTGATCACATGCCTTCAGTTCTGCGGGAACCGAATAGTGAGCGGTTCTGACGACAACACGCTGAAAGTGTGGTCAGCGGTCACAGGCAAGGTAAGCCGGTTATTTTGCTGAATTCCTCAGGAAATGAGCTACAGGTAGAGCACTGGTATGGCAAAACTGCTGCTGCTCTGCCATCAGAGCGTGTTCCAAGGGTGGTCTTCAGCACTGTCTGGTGCAAGGATTGGCACCGGTAAACATTTGGGTCATCTTTTCCTACACGGAAACTAGTCTAGTTTGAAAAAAGTCACCTTGATGTGAAATTGCAATGCTGCTCATGTTACTGTTGGCATAGATCCTTGTTCTCCTGGCAATTCTGCTATTCTTGCCGAGTCGTTTGTGACATGGATTCTAAAGAATTCCGACAGATACGTTACTTCATCTCCCTTAAAGCTTAATTTAGCTTGCTTTTCCCCTCCTGGATCTCCCTTTCTCACTTGTCTTCCAGCATTCTTTCTGTTGTTTTCAAGTGACTGAAATGGGGTGTTCACCTTACTGGCTCTGATTTCAAACACAGAGTTTGTTTTTTTTCTTTCTAAGCTACTATATTGCTGAGCCACCAAAAAAAAAATAGTAACTTGCTTTAGGTTTAAATATTTCCTATTACATTAGATCCAGCTCAGGCAGGAATTTAATAAGCTTCAATAATTTAATTTTGGCTCAGGGAAGCAAAACAATATGTGCAATCAAAAAGACAGTACTGAACATTTCACTCATGTTAGAACATCGCAGCCAGCTACTCAGCACACAGAATTTTTGGTTTAAGGTTACTGGCTGACTGTGCTCCAAAGATACCGAAAAGGCCTCTGGGAAAGAGTGCTTTTTCTTTCTGGACTAGTATTGTATGTACTTAGCTTTGTTTTAATGCTATAGTTACGTTAACAACAGGACAGCTGTTGAGGATATAACATGTTTAAGACGTAAAAGGTATCCACTTTATAATGTTGGAAGCTGAACGTGTTAAGCACTTGTCTTTGCATGCCTAGAAGATCCTTGATAGGACTGTAAATACTACTGTGGGGAAGAATAAAATTAAAAGCCATGGGCAGCCTCACCCTGCCTCTGCTGGCTTCTCTACAACAGACTTGTCTAATGAAGGAGCCCATATTGAAATTTACATTTTTTAATTGAAAAAGGCAGCTTAAACCCAACTGAAAAATACTTCTTTTGTACATACCACCCTCTCAAAAGCAAAACGTTCCTTTAAATATATCACACACTGATCATAGTAGCATGACTTCACAATTCGTGTTCAGTAATTTTTTGAAAGTAATTACAAATCGTGGTGTGAGCATTTACCCTAAACTTTTAAGAGAGCCAGAGGTTGTATATGAAGGATGGAAGAATGCTGTATCAGCCCTCATGCTTACTGATGCTGAAGAATTAATAAAATAAAAAACCCTAAAGGTTGGTTTGTGCAAATGAACATGACTAAATAATTCCCTTGACAGATGTAAAACCCAAAATAAGGATTCTGTGTTCTTGCTGAAGGATGATTTCCTAAAATACGAGCAAATCGGCTGAGATTTAAAAAAAATCCAGGAGCTGTAAAAGTGAATAACAGCTATGAACTAAGCAAGATGGATTTGATAGCAGTGAATTAAGCTGGAGCCAGGAATTGCAGAAGACTGGTAAAAAAATGTTAAGGAACAGGAAATCTATGTATAGCAAAAGAGTAAGGCATTTTCAAGGATGTTAGAACAGGATATTAACAACAGAAATTAGTATACTATCACTGGTGCGGAAAAATATTTTGGGAGAAGATTCATGTGATGGAAATACAGCATGCAATGATAATAGAACACTTCATTTCAGCATGAACTGACAAGGATGTTAAGCGACAACTACCAGTTACAGTTTTGCATAGCACAGTTGATCCAGATAGTTTGAATTCCATAATTTCTTTTTCTGAAGTTACTTGTGGGGCAAAATAGGTGTTTTTTCAAAAGGTGCAAGCACGAGGAGAAGATCCAAAGGATGGCAGAAAGCTGAAGTATGTCAATAACTGAAAGACGGGGTATTTAGGATACATTATCTCAGATAAAAATATACTGGACTACGTCAAGAGGAGTCAACTAACAGTTAAAGGGAGGCCACAGCAATTAATACCACTTAGCATTAGATTACAGAAAAAGAGATCATCAAACTGTCTTGACCTCTTTTCTCATGCAGTTACAGGTTTGACTGATAAAAATCATAGTGCAGCAGTAGATGGCTGTGTGCACTGCAAGGCTGTATCCCCATGACAGACTGAAGAAAATAGAACAATGCAAAAATCAGCATGGTACATACTTAAGTGGGTTAGAAAGTGAGTAATTATAGAGCTCATGTTGTTAATTTAAATGCAGAATCTTCATGGAGTATCTTTCTAGAGGGGTCTTGCAAGGATCTCTTCTTGTCTGTGCTAATTAGCACTTATTGCAGCCTGGTGCGAAAGCATATAGAGTCATTACTTGTGAGCAATACAGGCTGAGACATGGAGACAAGTCATTGTTCCAGAGTGACGGAGGTTTTCTAGAAGTAGGTGTGAGCAAACACTGTGTGCGTGGTGAGAAATCATGTCATACATTTGGGATCAGAGAAGGTAGGCTGTGCTCAAGTCATGTGGGATTCTCTCCAGGCCAACAGTAAAGTCTGAAAAAGGTTTGAAACAGGACTTTGCAGTATTGGTGCTGCAGCGAAGGGTTATAGAATGCCATGTTTCTCAGATAAACAGAAAAATACAGTAAGAGTATATGGTTTATGGATGGGTGGTAAAACTACAAGGTGAATGCTCTCTCCAGTTGTAACACTTATGCTTCAAAAAGCTATTAGAAAACCTGCAGTGACTCAGAAAAATGTCAGGAAAATGACTCAAGGCTGTAAAACATTCCCTGTGTTGAGAAATTTGGGAAGACAATTTAGTTTATCAAGGGGAAAATTATAGGGAAAATTCCTTCTAGTCGAAGTACTGACAACACAGAGAGAAATTTGATGAGTATTTATAAAAGGTAGGATTTTTTCTGTTCAATCACAAAGCAGTCTCCAGGGGTTCTTCTGGCTCTTGCTGTGAGAGACCACTGTTACCTCCTAGATTGCTTTTTCTTAAGTTTCCGTTCAACTCTGTCAAAAGGGTAACTAAGCAAAATACCTCTTTTCAGTGTTTGAGAACGCTGGTTGGGCACACAGGCGGAGTCTGGTCATCACAGATGAGGGACAATATCATCATCAGTGGATCTACAGACCGAACGCTGAAAGTCTGGAATGCTGAGACTGGAGAATGCATACACACCTTATACGGACACACCTCCACTGTGCGCTGCATGCATCTTCATGAGAAAAGGTGAGGCTTGTCCAAGGCTACAGTCACTGTTCAGCATATAATTTACACTTGTGTTCACAGCAAATGATTGTTAAACTTGGGTAGCTCATCCAGGATGGGGTGAAATACAAACCAGGTGAACCATTCAAACTAAACTACATAAATCAACACAAGGGAGGAGACGATTAATAGAAGCAAAAGCACAAGAGTGCTAATTAAAGAACAGAAATTGAGTCACGTACTTTATAAAGTCACATTCTGCCTTATTTCAAAACTAGTTCTTTGTTACGCTGTGATCCAGTCTCCCACGCTCTAAATAATTTCTTCTTTTTTGTCAGTGCCACAAACTTGTACTCATCTTGCAGAATGACTGTTTAAGTATTGGCACTGCAGTCTTTTCTGTACATTTTAGCTGATTATATCATAATTCCTCCCATGATAAACCATGTCTTGGTCCACACAACAAATGCTGGCAAAGCTCCTTTACCTGGCTGTGCTATGGAGCTGCTGACAGAGTGCCTGTTGGTTGCTTTCCTTCTTTTTCAAAGAAGGATGAGGTTTTATCTTTATCAGTTCCATTAATATTAATTCCTTCTCATTTCTGTTCTTGCCTAAAAAAGCCTTAAAAAGTTTAAACTGAAAAAATCAAGCAGAATAACTGTTACTTTACTAAAACTTCTAAAGATCTTTGTTTCATTGTTATAATTAGTTAACTTAGTCATTAAAACAGAATGCTCCTAGCACTGACTGGAGCTCAGCATATTCATAAGCTTTCATAGACAGATACAAGAGCCCACATAATTTCTCATGGCATCATCATTTTGCTGTTCAGGAATTAAATGCCTTTTTAAATACTGGTTTCTAATTATATCAAATAGATCCTGAGGAGGTGAGTAAAGCACAGAAGGAAAAACAGGGAAGTAATTTTTGACCCTAGTAAAATGCCAGACTGGATCTTTGGTGGGTAGTGGACTAATGCTATCTCATGTCTCAAAATAAAACGTGTAACTGATTTATTGTAATACTTCTATGTCCAACGCTAAGTACAGGAGGGGTTTTCTTGTTCCTCCAGAGTGGTCAGTGGGTCTCGAGATGCTACCCTGAGAGTCTGGGACATAGAGACGGGCCAGTGTTTACACGTTCTGATGGGCCACGTAGCTGCAGTTCGGTGCGTTCAGTATGATGGCAGAAGGGTTGTAAGTGGTGCATATGATTTTATGGTCAAAGTGTGGGATCCAGAGACAGAGACCTGTCTGCACACACTGCAAGGGCATACTAACAGAGTCTACTCATTACAGGTATGTGATTTTCATCTGCTGCTTTAGTTTCCTTAAGTAACATTTGAAGTCAGTTTATTTCACCTTGTTTATTAAGTTGTGGGTACCTACTCCAGAATGACACCGGCCACAGGAACACAGAGGCATCTGCGATAGTGCCCTCTTTCATTTTGTTATACTAGTTATATGTTGTCTTTATTTAGAAACAGACATACTTTTTTTAGAAAAGTACTTTCTAAAGCACCCAGTACAATAAAGCCCAAATCTCTATACCAGCAAATGAAATAGTTTTGTGGTTGCTGGGTTGTTTGGTTGGGTATTTTTTTTTAATCTTGCATGTGTTTTGGAGCTATGTTTTTGCTTTCCCCAAAGAAATTCAAAACTTACTGTTTTAAATAAATCAGATGATACAGTAATTGAAAATGTGCCAAAAACCTCATTGGATTAATGTTCTGAATTATGCAGATCCGCTTATCCTTATTTTGTAGTCCCATATTGCAGTTCTAAACTGTAATTCACAGTAAGACTGAACCTAAAATTTTAATGTTCCAGTGTAAATCTCCAGCCTTCTACTTCCTCTTCTCTGAGTAGAGGCCAGATCTACAACTGTGAGGCTTTGTCAACAGCGACATGTTACTGTCGATGCAGGTTATTGTGGTAGTGCTCTGTGGCATGGCTCTATTGCCTTCCGCTCACCCAGACTGCTCATCAGAACAAAGCTGGCAAAGATGCACAGAGCCCTCATGTAGACTTTCCTTACCTTTACTAACCCAAAAGATCGTCTTGCTCATTCATAGAGTCAGAGCATCACTTCCAGGCGTTGAAAGGCGAAAGAAATTAATTTCATGCTTGTGCCTGTTCTCACCACAATCTGGCAGGACTTGAAAAACAAATTAACAAAGACAGTTCAAAATGGGGAAATCGCATTCAGCATGTAACTGGTCTGTGGCTCAGAAAGTGAAGCTTGGTGCTGGAGATGTTTTTCATAAAGTTTGTCTTTCATAAGGTGTATCTCACCATCATAGATAAAATATGAACAAAATACATAATTGGTTTCCTTTCTGTAAATACGTAGTAAAATTTATCAAACATCTCCAGCAATTCTCTTACATTCATATGCTGAGGAGTACTCTGTAGACAAGCAGCGAGCATGTTAAAAATGCTGTATGACCTACCTATCTCTTCAAAATATTCCGAGGGTTGTGTTTCAGCTAGGGCAGTTGGGAACAGTTTATGTTATTCTGCCTTATCTTCACCAGTGGCTCTTGTTTTGCCTTATGAATATTCATATCTTGCTCTGATACACTGGCAATAATGGATCAAATAATTGGGTTACGTTACACAGTCATGCTATGCACGCATGGCATTCTGAAACAAACTGGGGAGGGGCAAGAGGCTGCAGGTGCTTTCAGTTTTAAGGACAGAAGGACTTTAAAATTGCTTGGTGAGCCCCTGCCCTTTGGCCTGAATAGCCCTAAACATCAGAACTGCCATAAATAGAATGATCAGGCTGAATAACCAGCCTGTCCTCCCTGGCCCTGTGCAATGGCAGGTTCTGTTACACCTCAGTATTTCCCCAGTTGTACACCCCTTACCATTTTCCAGAGGTCCTTGCACAGAGGTTGAAGACTGCTGACCACATTGTGTTTTCTTACTCTTCCTTAGCTGCCTTTGAAGTAACCCCCAGACTCTCTGGGTTCATAGATACAGCTCAACCACAGATCCAAACAGTTCTGTGTTTGGCTGTGGTAGTATCAGGTAAAGTTTGTCTTGATGCCCAGCCTTAAAGCCCTTTTCTGATTACCTTACATGCAATAGAAATGAATACCATACATGGAATACAATTAATTTGCAGGGAAAGGGGAAAGAATTCAGAATTTTACATAAACCTGGTTTAGTTCCATTTATGGGAGAACATTCTCTAGTGTTTCCACCCAGCAAGTCTGCTCTGCTGCTTAACACTCCTCATCCTTTTATCTGAACTCAGATTAGTGTGCATCCTCTTTTGAAAGCAGAGTACCCAAAACAGGATGCAAAATTCCAGCCAAAGTCTTACCAATGCTTACTAGAAGTGAAAAATTACGTTATGTGCCTTACATAGCATACCCCTCTTTCAGATACAAAAGTGTCCTTTTTTTTTTTTAGTTTATTTTCACCAGAAATGCAGTGCATGCAGCAGATAAGCAGTCTGTGTGTGCCAGTTGCTCTCTGCATTCTTTGGAACCCTGGTGCCATGCTCAACCATTTTTGACTGTAGAGGTCCGAGATGGGAGTCTTCTGCAGGTCTTATAAAAAGAAGCAGTCTCAGATAGTTGAGTTCCCTTAATTGGGTTCTTTCTTTGCCATTATTAGATACCAGTCAGTCCACATGGCCAAGTCGTGTCAGATTGCCCTTGCTACAACAAAGGCTCCTGCCCAGCCTCCATTCTCCCAGGCTGCATCTGTACATTCATTCCCTGCCAAGCTGAAATCCTCACAGTTTTCTCTTGACTTTTACACTCTTTGCTTTAGGTCAGTTCTACTCTTTCAAATGTCACCCAAATCCTAATGAAAATACCAAATGCCAGACCCCACCTGCAACTCTTTCTGATATCTCTAATAATGCTGTGGACAAAGTTCTGAGCAGGATAGTATCCCTGCCTCAGATCTGCCTGCCTCTTTCTGAAAACGCAACCAAGACATCAGCCATTTCACATGGCTTTTTTACTCTGTCACAGGAAAAAAAAAAATCATACTGGTTAAGATCATTTCCCCACAAATCTGTGTTTGCTGCTACTTACTGCATTGCTAAGGGCTTGCAACCAGATCAATTTGTTAGTTCCTTGTGAAAATTGAGCTTAGTCTGACTGATCCATAATTCCCCATCTCCCATCATCATCTCCTTCAATAAAGAAAGGAACTGTATTTGCTATCTGAAACTTGTCTGTTTTCCATGGGTTCTCAAAGATAGCAGCAGATGTCTCTGAGATTGTCTTAAAACAACTTGCCTTATGTGGATTTTTTTTCCCCATTCTAGCAAAAGCTTGTACTCAGTTGTCAGTGGTGTCAAGGCTGTGAGCCTACACTCAGATGGCTGAGGACTGAAGCAAAAAACAAGTCAAAGTAGCTGGCCTCACGTGCTGTTTCCTTCCCACTGAGCATAAGTGAGCTATTTTTTATTTTGGCTGTCCTCTTGTTTGGTTTTGGTTTGGGTTTTTTTTACAGAATAGTAAAGCAGCTTTTGCTAGTTTTATCTTGTTTTATGCCCTGCCTTTCTGATTTTGTCCCAGTGTGCTCTTTTAAACACATCTATTGATCTGCTTTCTACTTTTTTGTACAATTCCTTGTGCTTTAGCCAAGTGGGTCTTGGTAATTTACTACGCTTCCTATCTTCCCTTCACACAAGGATAGTTTGTGTCTTTAAGAAGTGCCAACTCTCCTGAACTCTTCTTCCCCTCAGAGAATACATAGATAAAAACCTCATGGGAAGGAAGTCTCAATTTATTGAAGTATTTCTCCTTGAAGCCCACTGGTTTTATTCTACTGCTCTTTTCCTTCTTTGAGAATTCTGGACTCTTATCTTATTGTCACAATCACTCAAGTTACTTTCCACCTTTGTATTCTCTGCATGTTCAGTCCTCTTGGTCAAAAGTGTCTCATCTGTTAGCCGATTTTTCTACAAGTTCACATTCTACATTATTTTATATATACTGTATGCTCAGAAAAATCCAAGAATTTGGACACCCACGTTAGCCTGTTTGCCTTTCCTTACAATGACTTGGAAGTTAAAGTTTGTTACTGCACACAATTATGATTATAAAATGGCTAAACTCAGCATTTTTCAATTATATTCCTTCTACTTTCCTATGCTGCTCTTTTTCTGTAGATGATTCTGCATTAATGCTTTTGCCCTTCTCCAGCTTGAAGTCCCTCTGATTCGTAGAAAGCAGTTTTGGCTTGTTAATATCTTTATTAGGAAAACTACATCCTCTTAACTGTTGTATGCTGTAGTACAGTCAGGATTCTGTTGTGCTTAAAGGAGTTGTATTACCGCTAAAAGACCAGTGGTTCAGAGTCTTTTTCTCCTTGAACTGGGTACCACAATAGCCCACGTCTATTACGGAAATCACACTGACCATTAATCACCTGCTCTGATACCAAACGTGGCCATCTCTACTTAGACTGAATTCTTACATTATCATGCAGTTGCCATAGTGTATATATAGTATCTAATGTTGCACTTAGTGAGTTAAATGCTTAATAATCTTCTTTATAAGATCCTAATGTAATTGTTTGTAATAGATTTACCTTTCTTGTAGTTTGATGGTATCCATGTGGTGAGTGGATCTCTTGATACTTCCATCCGAGTTTGGGATGTGGAGACAGGCAACTGCATTCACACACTAACAGGCCACCAGTCTCTCACAAGTGGAATGGAACTCAAGGACAATATACTCGTGTCTGGGAATGCTGATTCTACAGTCAAAATCTGGGACATTAAAACAGGACAATGTTTACAGACATTGCAAGGTGAGCCTAAACTACCTTCATGTCAGTCAAGCTGTCTGCAGTAATCTATGCTGCAGATTCTCTATGAAAAAAACAAACAACTTGAAAATACTTACATACAAATAAACAAGCACAGACCACTTACATCTTAAATATTTTTCTGATGACAGCAGTATGATCTTTCTCTGAATTAGAAGAACAAAATGTATTTAATTTAATCTATTCAGATCACTTGCCTATTATGAAAGGCAGATGGTCTGGACTGATAGCAATTTGCTATGGGTGTATTAGCCTAATAAGCCACAGAAATATGTAGGAAGTGACATCTCAAAACAGTCAACGTATTTATTTAGGGGTCACTTGGATTTTTCAAAGCTCACTGATTAATTGGATCGGGAGGCAAAGTACACTGTCTGTTGCAATAAATCAAATGAGTGGAAGATGTTTTCTTTATTTCAGTAAAGAAGAAAGATTGTTGTTGCTGTTTTGACAGTTGCCACTCAGGCATCGTGTACATGAGCACATTGGTTTGTTCCTCCCCACAAAAAAGGTCCTTATATCATCCCCATATACCATATGCAGCATTGCTGGTTGGAACAGAAAATTAAATTTCCCTGTAAAGCAGATTCTGCTGATTTAACAGTCTATATTTATATGTCAATATATAACTGTCAATATTTAGTGATAATCTCATAGTAACACTTCAGAGGGACTTGGAGACAAACGCTTATAGCAGTCACCTCATTCTGGATGGTTAAGTTCATTTTCATCATCATCCAAGTGCACACTTGTCCTCCTGCTTGTACACAAGAAAATGAGATCACTGTAACAAAGAAGGAAATCCTGGGGGACTTTTCTATACCTGCATTCACTTATTTAAAGCATGGCAAGGCTTCTGTACCTCTAAAAGCACAAAAATTGAGTTAACACATCTAATAGATAGAAACAGCTGTATGCAAATAGTTAGGTATTTATTCTATAGGCAGTGCTGTCTGACTTTGCTTTCTAATTATACATGAAAATGTTTTGGTTTACCGTTACAGGTCCCAACAAGCATCAGAGTGCTGTGACCTGTTTACAGTTCAACAAGAACTTTGTAATTACCAGCTCAGATGATGGGACTGTAAAACTTTGGGACTTGAAAACGGGTGAATTTATCCGAAATCTAGTCACATTGGAGAGCGGGGGAAGTGGAGGCGTCGTGTGGCGGATCAGAGCTTCTAACACAAAGCTGGTGTGTGCGGTTGGGAGCCGCAATGGGACTGAGGAAACAAAGCTGCTGGTGTTGGACTTTGACGTGGATATGAAGTGAAGGGCAGAAAGATGAATTTGTCCAAACGTGCAGACGATGTTCTCCTGTCCCTCCCCCTGGGAAAAAAAAAAAAAAAGGAAAAAAGAAAAAAAAAGAAAAAAAAAAAATCCCTTGTCCTTGGTGGTGCAGGATGTTGCCTTGGGGCAGCAGATCCTAAAGACCTACAGACTACGAAGGAGAAGACAAAGATGACAAACTCTAACTGACAAGAGAGGCATTTGCTGTCTCGTCACATAAAAAGGCTACACTTCTGACCGGGGCAGCTTTGCAAAAATGCGACTTTTGAAACGAAACCAGGTGCAATTATTTCTTTACTTTCCTCCGTCTGCTCCTTGAGCAATTTGGAGGTGAAAAAAAAATATTGTTACAGTTCTTGTTAAAAGGTTATTTTACCACAAAGATCTCAAAAGAAGCTGCACAGGCAAGCCTGCTCGTGCACCCCTGGGCCACCCTGGGTCCCGGCAGCCCCTCTGAGCAACATGCTGTCCTTTAGCCCCACTCTGAGCAGAGGGTTGGACCGGACAACCTCCAGAGGTCCCTTCCAACCTCTACGAGCAGTCACTGGTTGACTTTCAAAAACTAGAGAGCATCTGCAGTGAAACAAAACAAAAACAAAGAGTCCATTCCTGGTGTGGAAAAGCTAAAATATTACTGTGAATTGTTTTGTACAGTTTTATCAGAGCTTTTTCTTTTTTTTCCTTTGATTCCTCTTTTTTTTTTTCCTTATTTTGCCAACCATTGCCAATGTCAATCACAGTATTAGCCTCTGTTTAATCTATTTACTGTTGCTTCCATCTACACTCTTCAACGCATAAGTTGCTCTGAGGTGGCAAGTTGTCCTGGGTTTTGAGAGTCCTCTGATGGATTTAATTCGCAATGCTGGTGCTAGAAGTAGGTCTTCAATTACGGGATTGTTGTCCCACCCCTGTACTGTATTCCCAGTGGCCAAACTTATTTATGCTGCTAAATGAAAGAAAGAAAAGCAAATTATTTTTTTTTATTTTTGTTTCTGCTGTGACGTTTTAGTCCCAGACTGAATTCCAAATTTGCTCTAGTTTGGTTACAGAAAAAGACTTTTTGCCACTGAAACTTGAGCCAACTGTGCCTCTAAGAGGCTGAGAGTGGAAGAGTTTCAGACAATTAAGAGTGAAGTTTGCCTGCAAATAAAGAATTGAGTGTGTGTGCAAAGCTTATTTTCTTTTTTCTGGGCAAAAATTAAAACACATTCCTTAGAACAAAGCTATTGCAGCCTGTTCTGTGGGGAAATTTTTCTTTGTGAGGGCTGTGGTGAATGGAATGAACATACATTAAAAAAAAGACAAAATTTTTAAAAAATATGATAAAATACAAAAATGGAAATAAAGTTGCTGGTCAGTCTTAGTGTTTTACAGTATTTGAGAAAAAAAAGAAACAATTGTTACAGTTATTGCTGGGAGGAACTGACAGAGCAAAAACTTCGTGTTTTTGTAAAGATGTCACATGCAAACGAAATGAGAAACGAAAGAGTCAAATGGTTTGCCTCATTCTCCAAGAGCCACAACTCAAGCTGAACTGTGAAAGTGGTTTAACACTGTATCCTAGGCGATCTTTTTTTCCTCCTTTTTTTTTGTTTTGTTTTTGTTTTATTTATAGTCTGATTTAAAACAATCAGATTCCAGTTGGTTAATTTTAGTTATGTAACAACTTGACATGATGGAGGAAAACAACCTTTAAAGGGATTGTGTCTATGGTTTGATTCACTTAGAAATTTTATTTTCTTATAACTTAAGTGCAATAAAATGTGTTTTTTCATGTTAGTATGTCTTTTTTTCCCCCCCCTTCCATTCCCCCAGTTGTTAATTCAATATCATCTCTCCTACAAAGGGTAAAGCAGGTCAAGTTGCTCAGCTTACTGGTAGATGCTGAAATATGTCGCAGGACTTTTTATGTAACCCTTCCACAAACAGGTGCACGAATGTCCTCTCCTTCAGTTACCGTATAGGATTTGTCACATGGGCTTCACAAACATGCGGGAAAGCCATTAGCTTCCTATCACTAAGAACGTGTCAGGATTTGGCTATAAAAAGCTGTTCAAGTACGCAAAACTTCTTCCGATAGCATCTTGTTACTGCATTAAATTGAAACTTGATGTTTATTATTTATGGATTTCAATCAATTGATTGCAGTCTGACAGCAGAGAACAAATCCATAAATACAACTAAAAATCAAAGTTAGGATTGTAGGAGAGCTTAAAATAAAGCTTCTGAAGAAGAAAAAAAAACACCCCCACATCATTCCAGATCAGTCCAACAGCAGTGTTATCAGTGCCCTGAAACCAAGGTAAGTCAAGTCATCAGCTGTCTTAGAAACTTACCACTTTAGTGTCATTTTCTCTCTCAAATCTCCTTGACCAAAATCATCATTTTTTCCTGTGTAAGACTCTTCTGTTAGGGCAGAACATTTACTTGTTTGTCACAGTTTTCCCTGTAGAAAACTTGCATTGAAGAAAACCAAACCAAAACATTAGAAGAGAAAATACATGGATGGAAAAGCCAAATATTTACACACTTACACATCTATGACTATGTGCTATTCAAATGTAGTTCCAATCCCAGTGTTACGCAAAACAAGTGATGCTGAAGGATGACGCTTCCATCTGGCCCTAGAGATTAAAAAGCCGTAGAGGATGACTGAGGAGCTACAAATTGTAAAAATCTGTTCACTGAACTGGCGTTTAAGGAGAAAAAAATGCAGCAATCACTGACAAAAGCTATGATCATCTCGGTATTTATATGAAAACAATGCAAGAACTAATCCTCTCCTAAAATGACAGTGAAGGATTGCCAGGACTTCACATTGTTCTGCTGAGAATGTGGGCCAGGACTCGGCCCGCTGGATGACAGAAGGTACGTCAGGCTGCACTGAACTTCTGGTGAGAGGGGATGGAAATACAATGGTGAAACTATGAATAATTGAATGCAGAGAGCAGAGCCATAGCTTTTAAGATTATATAATTCTCTTTCATGATTTGTAGAAATTGCAACAACATGTATTCAAAGAGCTAAGGCGCTGGCCTGACACTGCAGGAGAAGGAGAGATTTCTGAGTAACACACTGCTGGAGGGCAGGAATACAAATTGGGGCCGAAGAGAAAAATGACAGAAAAGGAAAACTTTAACAAATCCACATTAGTTCAAGGTGTGTTTAAGCAGCCACTATGACCAGGAGCAAAATGTGCTTAACCAGAATTGAGAAGATTTCCCATTGTTAGTATAGTTCCAACACTATCTTAAGTTCACATTCATGCAGAATAACTTGAACCTGCTAAGCAAACAGCATTTATAGCTTCCTTCACCCCACATTTAGGTTAAAAAAACGGTGGCTGCAAAATGTAGATATGACAGACTAAATACAAAGCCCAACACGGTACTTTTAAAAAAGTAATTTTTGAGTCTTTTTACTCCTTCAGTAAAATAACTTCACAAAGTTAATTGTGTGGCACTCTGCAGACTTCTGTTTTGTGAGAAATCTGGGTAGGTTTGTAGGATTTGATGTTGCTGATGGGACATCTCAACAACATAGCTCAATAAGCACAAATTTGTTCATTTGTTTAAGTAACGACATTTCAAAAATGGGCCTGTAGCAAACACATTGTGTGTAAGAAGCTGTTGAAGCACTTTTGCTTTACCATCTCCTTATTACCCGCTTTATGTTGAAGCACTCACGCTAACACAGTTCACTTCATATGAAGTCTGGTTTGGCAGCGCATGCTCCAACCATGACTGTTCAGGAAGCATCTTCCTTTTGTGTAATTAATTAGATTTGGATTTTAAGGTGGGTGGTGGTGTTTTAAATAAAAACATTCAATAATGCTAGTAGAAGACTAACTGCTTTATGCTTTCAATACACAGGCACTTGCATCTAATGGCTTAGTCATGGTAAGCTATGTCAAAATATCCACAGCTATCCCAGAGAGATAATTGCAGTAGTGTTTCTGGCATCTTAGCCTCTTATTTTAACATGGATTCCCTTTTTAATTCTTGATTTAGCCCCAGAAAGCAGAAAGAGCTTCCTTATTTTCTCCTGTACCTGAAGCCAAGTGAACAACATTAAAAGAACATTTTTAATAGGTATTATTCTTACTGGACCTTGATTTTAGCTAACAGTAAGTAAGAGCTAGTGTTGCCACTGCCTCCAACAGCCCGTTCCTATGGTCTCAATTTAGTTACTCAGAAAGACCAGCTATGTCCTTTCCAATTTGTAGTTCAGATCAGCAGCTCTCCCAACAGAGCACAGTGCTGCCCTGGAGCCCAGAGACAGGATTCCTTTGGGGTGTAACTAAATCAGAAGCAGCTCTCCAAGAGCACACCCCAGGCACCTGAGCCACTACATGAGCATGTGGGACTAAACCAGAGCTAGTCCAACACCTCAAAAATACATGCAGGTGGACATTAGATCCTCAGGACCAAGAAACTGGCATTACAGCTCTGTCTCTACTGCACAGCACTTTGTACTAGTGCAAGCGTAACCTTCAACAAACCATATCCCACAGCACCCCTGCCTCCTGGTTCATAGGCAGCACCCAGCTCCCATCCAGATTATCAGCAGCAGAAAACCAGAACCTGCCTGATAACACTATAGAGGTTTTGCCAAACTCTCTTTCAGCATGCTTACGGACATGTTCTTCTGATTGGCTTATGGAATCCAGTTTAAAAGAAATACATACCTCTCAGTATCAGTCTAGCCAAAATTTCCTACCAGCAAGTCAATACTTGAATCATTCAAAAAAAGAATGGAATTCTGTAATTAGGTAGGTGAAAGAACCAGATTCTAAAAACAAACAGAACTTGCCAGTAATTACTTGAGTCACTCTGACCAAACAAATGTTAGTTACTTGAAGGGTAATATCCATACTGACCACTGAATCTTTATTAAAGTGGGAATTTTTCCACATCTCCTGCCATTTTATCTATAACCTTGATCCCTGCCAGCGTTCAGATACACATGCTGTGTGACGATGTTTCGTATTTTACAATCATATACGATGTTTATACATTAAGTATATGATCTATATGATATACACCAGGCTTTTCAAACTTCACCTAAAAATGACATATACAATTTTTCAAACCCCTCTTCAAGCATCAGTGCAGGTTTGTAAATACAATAGATATTTTAACATAAAAGCTGCTCCAGATCCCTTCTGAGATAGACAGTCTGACAAAGTAGGTGTCACCAAAAAGTCAGCAGCTACTACAGGCTCCTGCTCCCTGTTCAGATTGCCAAACACCCCAGCAGCTGTAGCGGCACTTCAGAGGAAAGAAATGGTGCATTGTGCTGCCATGAGTACACACTGACAAGGAGAAATGCTGCAGCATTCTGTGAGTGCAGCTGCCTAAGGACTAATGGCTTTAAGCCCATGTACACTGCATTGCTCAGCCTGGATGGGACATTAAGAGTCCTATAAAATCATAACTAAGCTAGGACAGAATCTCCCCACCAACTAGAGATGGCAGAAATCATTAATCACAGCGGTTGCTGCTCAAGATCTTGCAGCACCCAAGAATCTAGCGGTGACTCTAAACTACTTGCTGTACAGGACAACTGAGACTTGTTCAAAGGCATCCTCCAGCTCTCCTGTATCCTCACCTCCGGCTTGCTTAGATCCAACTTCAACTGCCTGATTCCTACTCACAAGCCGATTTTGTTGAGCCCTACATGGTAGCAATAGTTTTGGTGAAAGATAAACTGCCTGATTTGTCTTCTGCATCTCTGTTCTGCTGGAATCTCTTCTGTACTTTTTGCCACTTTCTGCACAGGGACAGCACAACCTCAAGTCTTAATACTTACTGCTCCAAGGCAGTACACGAAGATGAGAAGGCATGATTCAGCCCAGTATGACACATTTATCATCAGTATTGCTAAAATTATTTCCACCCTCAGTCTAGACTGAAAATAATATTCTAGACCTGGTGTAATGAAATGAGTTTCAAGTTGATTTCAATTATTTATTTTTTTCACACATGAAGATTTAAATGTCACAAACTTCATCCAGCTTGAGTTTCTTCACATAGGCACATCCTAAGAAGCTTCACAGTTTAAGTAGGATCATGAATCTTGTTGCCTAGAAGCTGAGAGAAGTCATGATCTATGGACAATGAAAAACAGGAAAGCCTATGTGAGCTGGATGAGAAATGACCTATGGAATTAAGGGAAAGAGAGGTGAAATGAATTTGGGGATTTTTCTGTCCAAGAGATCATAGTTTTAAGTCCTAAAAGAGCTAGTATGGGGTATTTCATCATCCTGGCCAACAAAGCACAGGAGTAAGCTTTCTTTAATGAACCCTTGAGTCTGGCTGCCCTGTAATTGAGGATACGACTGATCGTGTTAGCTCTGAGTCACATGAACTTCTCTTACCTCAGGCAGGTTGTTTGATGGGAAGATGAATGAAATGCCCCTGGACCTCCTCCTTCTGTCTGGCTCCTCATGTCAGCTGGCCAGATGTCTGACATGCAGGTTTCACAGGGTGCTTACAGTGCACTATTCCAGAGTGCTTTGTTCTTTCAATTTAAAACAGGAAACATGGAATGCAGAAGACCCAAAAACTTCAAAGGCAGTTTCCATTGCCAAAGGAGTTGCATTTCAACTCAAGTTCACTCTCTAGATTAAATATTTAAATCTGACAGTGTGGGAAGATGCTTCCCACCTTCAAGAGGACGGATGGTTTCTAAGGAATAGAGAAATTTAGATTACTTGGCCATAAATATCAGTGTGGTAAACTGAGCAGTACAACTGTTCCTAAAAAGGAGTTTTATTTTGAGCTCCTTGGTTTATTTTCTAATAAGACCACAGCTTTGCAAACACACAAACAATATAAAACATGTTTCCTTTACCCTGACACACAGAAGATCTGAGTACTACATTTCCCTCTCTTTTCAAACTGTTATTTGCTTTTAAGTTTCCTGATATATTTCATTGCTGATTTGAAATTTTCACATTATAGTTTGGTAAAAAGGAAGAACTCAAAAGCTGTAGACTAGACAGGGCTCCAAAAATGTGCCTGCAAACAGTTTGCTGCTATTTGTCTGCTTTGGTGTTCCTCCAGTCAATTCTCAGTTGACAGGAGGGAATGTTTCAATTAACTAGCATACACATTTTCCCAAACAAACAAGTTTTATAGAAACGTGTTATGATGTTGGCCCCAGGGGAAAAGTTTCTTGATTGTTTCTGTTGATGTTTCTATTGCCTATTTAGCACATGCTTTAGGCATGTACTGGATGCTGTCTTTACCATTCTGCTGACTACTGCCCCACTTCAAATACCCCAATTTCATCCAGAACAACATGGTAAGCGTGATGGTACTTGTCTCCACCCTTCAGTCTCACACACAGTTTTACATTTCAAAAGCAGGTAACTGTTCGGTCCATTCACCTGTTCACCCGCAGTCATTTACCAGCGGAACCAGCTCTTAAGACCTCACCATTTATCACTGTTGGCCATATGGCAGAATAGGGACAACCCAGGGCACAGGAGCAGTAAGACAGAGGAATGTTCTATGTGAGGTATCACTAATGTGTCCATCTGTTAGTATAACTAAAGGGGATACGGCTCCACTAAGCCACAGGTCTTCAATTTGAGTTGAAAAATTCAAGATTACAGCCTGTATTTTAAAAGGCTCAAACTACATATTCATTTCTATATATATAGTCACATCTTGAAACATTTCTGGTTTTACATATTTTAAAAAGACTTGATAACTACATAATCTTTCTGTTTTCCTCTATTTGCTTTCCTCATTTTCTCTTTTCTTTGACACTCACACTTCAGTTTCCTTTCTCCTTCAGTTTCATTTCCTCCTTTGTCCTGTTCCCTATGTTTTTCTTTTCATGTTTTACCAATCCTGTCCCTGTTTTTCACTATTTTTTTTTTCAATCCTCCCCATCTTTCCCTATTTGCAGGCTTCTTCACTTAAAACTGTCATAGCCAGCTTCTCTCTCTTCCCTCTGTTGGCGAGCTGGAGCCTTTTTCACACCACTCTATAGATACAAGATATACAAGAGAAACATAAAACAGATGAGAAACAAATACAGAGCACTCAGAAAAAAATAATTTATTTGTCTGCTTGAAAATGAAAGATCTAACGTTACTCTATCCATAGCCCACAAATGATCCAAATGGTCTAGCAGCACTAGGTTCAGGCCTTCTAAGCACAGACTGGTCTACCACCACTTTCATAAACAACTGAGCAAAAAACATTGCCTAATTCAGGAAGCAGGCAGAAGCATTCTCTCTTCTGCTGTCTGCAAAAATATAGTGTTTTCTTTAAAAATCCCATTTTCTTGCTCCTTAAGAAAAAGGCAAGTTTGAAAATATTCCTCATTACAAAACATGGGTGATACAAGGTTTGCTAAATCGGTGCAGAATTTGGAATTTACTTTTGGCAACAAGCCTCTAGACAGATTCACCTCTGGACAGAAGCTGTCATCCCAGCAGATGCCTATTTCATAAAGCTCTGTAGAAGTATAAATAAGAATTTGAGGCTGTAAATGAACCTGTGTTCCAAACTTAACAACAGTGGCTGATATTCCTTCCGGTACTACCAACACAGCACAGCTGGGATAGCACGGTCTGTCAGGGTATGTTAGGAACAGAATATAAACCACGTCTAAAACAATCTAGTGCACACTGCTCACTAATTCTTAATATGCACTGACAGCATAAGCAATAAAAGCTGCAGAGCCAGCATATGAGGTGACTGCATACCAGGTATACTACACTGGCACTGGTGAAATTTAACTCTTCTAGTGACACAATAAATCTCTATATAAATGAAAAAAGGCCAGGGACATCCACCACTTCTCTGATGCTTGGCTTCCGCACAGTGTTAAACCAGTGTAACCTAATTCAAAAGGATAAGCAGCTATTAAGCACACAAACTGTCCAAAGCAACAAAGACACAAACAAGACATTCTCATCTTTGCAGAACAAAAAGCAGTAAAACCAACCAAACAAAAACCACACAACAACCACTCAAACCAACAAAACTCAAATTCCAGTATCTTTTACCTCCTTGTTTGTTTCATTTCAGCTTAATGATACTACTAACAATTGCAGGTGAGAGGTCTCCTTGTAAATGCATTCCCATCCCAGCTCTGTGTATACCATCCACACAGACTGTACGGCTGCATTTACCCAGTGGGAAAGATAAATAGGATTTGCCTCATGGTTCTGTTTTTATTTTTGCTCATTCTAGTCAAGCATTTTGCTCTTGGTTGTTGCTTTATAAACAGAACACAACTACCCTACTTCCCCACAGCTTGAACAGATGAGTGTTGCAGCTCAGCCTTTCCAGGCTGAAGGATCATTGGATCAGGGAAAATGAGTTAGAATTAGACAGACGTTCAAAGTCCAACAAAGCGGGACATGTGGCTAGCATTGTATCTCGAATGCCTGAGGTGAAGAAGCCTTCCCCACTGACAACCAGACTAATGCCCCACACAGCTAACAAGAGTCACCACGTATCCTACAAAGGCAGTTCAAATTGACATTAAGGGAGCAGAAACTCTTCCATAGACATAAGGAGCACACCAGAGAGAAAAAGAAACACACAGGTTTAATATTATAATATTCTGATTTGCTCTTGGAAAACCCACACAATATCCCCTTTATGCAATCTGATTTATCAGCCAGCACAACGTAGACAAAATTGTTCTGACAGGAAGGTATGAGTTCCTTTAATTTGCAATTCTCCAAATGAAGCTAATTAATACC